CCCCCGGGGGGAAAAGGGGGGGGCAAAAAAAGCCCCCAAAATTCGGCGAAACCCAACAAAAAACCGGATTTTTGGGGGCCCCCCGGGGAGGGGGAACCCAAAATTAATTAGGCCCCCCGCCCCCAAGAAAAAAAAAGGATCCTAAAAATTGATCCCCCCCCCCCCCCCCCCCCCCCAGCTACAGCCTTTTTCCGATGAGACAGGGGTAAAAGAAAAAAGACATGCCAAACTCGGGAGCTCTCCGAGGATGGCCCAAACCTGATCCAAGCTTAATTAATTCTGATCCGCTGGTAACACACACCCGCAGCCAATGCAGAGGGCTGAGGCAGACAGCAGCTATGGCGCTTTTTCCGGGCAAAAACGAACTCGGCGATCCACAAAACAATGTTCACTGAGCAGCGAAAACCAAGCCTCTGCCGGGCCGACGATTACTTCGGCCTGACCACACCCCTCGTCGGTGCAAAGTTGACAGGACAGCAGCAAACTCACGCTTGGAAACATGCAGTCGTCGCCCTGCCACAGAGCCTGCTGTTCCGACAAAGGTGTGGTTTAAGGGCCACCTACAGCGTTGACACTTGCCAACTCGCTCCCAATTAGCAACAACAACAACAACAACACCCACCACCCAACTAGTTTCCCTCTCTGTTCTCCGTTGTACCGACGTTCCCAACTCTCGACCCCTTCCCCCCAACACGGAAAAGGCCGATACCGCGCCATATCGTCATCTGTATGACCCTACAAGATGGTCTCAGTAGCCATCGATAGTCCTGCCTTTCGGTGGAGGAACTGGGTTGTAAAACCAGCCCCCCAAAGGGGTAGGGGGCATTCCGCAACCTACGGTGCCCCCCGAGAGAAAGAAGTGCTCTCACCTCCAAGTCTCCTGCGCGTGCGTGTTCACCAATCACCATGCCGTTGTAGACCTCCTGCGACACAAAAACACATTTGCCACCGCATTTTCGTTGGTGGCACGGACGGGGCAAGGGCATAGGCAAGCACGAAGAGCAACACAAGAACGACGAACACGGACCAAGGGCCACAGAGCGGGGGCGGTTTTGAAATGCGCGAGAGGGGGCAGGGGAGGAGCACAAACAACATCAGGAAAGTGAGCCGTGAAACACTAAACAAACACACCAGACGCGCGCACCTGTCCAGAGGAGATGAAGAGTTTCCCCCTATCCTGAAGCGAAGCCAGGGCGTGCGCAGTGCACTTTCCGTTCGCGGTCGCCACGAGCTTCCCGGGGCTAAGACCACCCAGGTTGGACATGAACGGCGCCGAGTGCCTGAGGGAGCGTGGGCCGGGGGTTGGGGGCGGTGGGCGGCGAGAGGGTTGCTTGATCCACGTGCTCGTCTTAAACAGCTATCTAATCCTCGTGTTCGCCTTGAACAGGTGTCTAACGCACCTTGTTTAGTCGGGCAGCAGGCACACGCGCCCTACCCGCATGGATGCTTCGAATGACAAAAAAAAACCTCACGCATTGGGCCAACGGCACCAAATAGAGCATAGAAAAGAGAGGTCATGTAGCGGTACTAGGCGCAACTACACAAGAGACCGCAACTTTTGGAACAGCAGCAGGTTCCGCCCATCCGTCACATCAACATCAGCGGGCCGAAGGAAAGACTAAAGACTCACGCAAAGGCGGAGTTGACGACGGCGCTGCCGTGGGTCTCCTGCCGAATCTCCGCCCCGAAGCCCATCAGCCCTCTGCTGGGCACCTCGAACACTAACCGGGTCTGTCGGACGGTGCGGTGCGTTGTAGTGTCGTGTGTGGGAAAGCCAAGAACAGCGGTGGTGCACGGGCCAAGAGGAAGGAAGCAGGGGGGGGGGAAGGTGCGTGTGGGCATCGTTAGCATCGACGGCGCGCGACAGGCGGCTGACCAATGAAAAAGATGTACGTCGGTCTTGCAGCGGGATAAACCGCGCCAACACGCACTCAAATCGAGACGGTTCTACCGACAGGGTGTGTTAGTGGGTGGGTGGGTGGAGGTGTCTTCCGAGCAAAGCTTTGTTGCAAGCGCTGCCGCTCCGTAAACTTGCCAAGGGTCTGGCGGCCCTACCACCAAGTCGTCGCCGTCGGGGGGCTACTGGGCCAATCAATCGCTCGCCGAACGACCCGACGAGGCTACCGTAGCCCAACGAACGACGCGAGTGACCGGTTCATCTTGCACACCAGCAGATACACAAAAAAGAGATGAAACAAAATACGTGGGAAAACAAAAAAAAAGGTCCAAGACAAGTCGCCGACCAGAAGAAACTCAACAACGACGGTCTTCTCTTCACCTCGGGGGGGCACTATTACTTGCACCATACCTCGTTCGTTTGTTGCGTGCGATGTGAGGGGGCGTGTGTAGCTGCCGTGGAAGTCAGTGAAAGTGTCTGGGGCCAGAAGGAAAGGAAAATGCTCTTCGGACGAAAAAAAAAAAAAAAAAAAAAAAAAAAGACACCGGCTAATCGCGGGAGACTCGTCGGAGCGACCGGGCCGAGGGAAACGTTGGGCTCACCTTCCCCTCGTGGGCGTCCTTCATCTCCATCATCACGCCGCGGCGAGAGCCCGTCAGCTTGTCGATCACCACCCCGGTGTAGTCGCTGTCGACGTCTACGGTGACCTAAAATAGGCACCAAGAGGCAAGAACGAAACGGGACGCATCAGTGACAAAGGGAAGTTCCCTGAGACGACGCTGTAACGTTTTCATGCATGCAGGTGCGAAATAGAGAGGCACGCGCGCGTGTGAACTGAGGGAAGGCAGAGTGGGGAGCTTGTGGATAGACGCTTTGGGGGAGGGCGGGGCGGGGGGGGGGGGGTGAAGGGCGAGGACTAGAGAGGGCGAGGGGGAGAGACGTGACAACAAGGGTCGAAACGGCGAGGTAACGTACGTAAAAAGTACTACGGACACACGCGAACAAAAAAATCCTGGGCTAATCACAGTAAGGAAGGTGCTATAAACCGATCGTGTTGAAAGACTTGAACCAACACGTTCAAAGACTTGAGCCAATTCTTAGCAACACCGTTCCCACCACACACCCTATGTCATTACCACTAAACCCTAAATACCACGTCCACAACCGCCACTGGCGCTGGCTCGCACATAACAGCAATATCACGAGCACGAACAGCAACGTCAACGTAAAAAACCACCACGACCAAAACAACAACAACAACAACAACAACAACAACAACAACGACAGCGTTACGTATTCGGCATATGAAACGGCGTAAAACAAGACACCGGCGTTGTCGACCAAAACACAGCCACACGACCAACGAAAAGAAACAAGACCGCGAGAGAGACCGCTATTCAACAACCCCCCCCCCCCGCCCATATTGGCCAAGCACCCTCGAGGCAGTTACACAGTGCTTACAACTGTCTCTGGAAGTGAAAACACCAGAAAAAATATTAAGTCATTCGCAGCTGTCATCCGTACGCAAGGAAGTAAGAACAAGATGTCCAACACCCTTAGCATGATGCAGCGCACCCTCCATGCGACTCGCCGAATACCTCACGACGCTTCCCCTCCATACGCACCTCTTCGATGGGCTCTAGCGTGTTCCCCTCCTCGTCCTCCGTGGTGAGCACCCTTGGCGGCGACACGCAAAACTCGTACCCTTCCCGCCGCATGTTCTCGATAAGGATGCCCAGCTTTTTCGTTTTCGTGGCAACGCCACCACGCAGAGACGCACGCCCGATTGGCGGAACATCAGGGGGGGGCAACACATGCGCAAGAAAGAGATAACGAGGGGAAGCAAGCTCAGTTGAAACCTAACCTGAGTCGCTTCGATTCGATTCCCCAGCGGTCAAGCGCTACTTCCAGCCCAAGCCTCGGCCCTACTCCCGGAAGGGACACCGTCGACCTCGGGAGCTATCTCATTCGCGACCCTGCCAAGACTGCAAACGTCGGCGCACTCCTGTCGGGAGGCGAGGGCGGGAGCGCTATGCGCACATCCCTAGAGCCCTCTTTGAGTACCTCCGATGGAACACGACCCGCGCAACTAGGCTATGACTCTTTATGACTTAACAACTTTTGGTTGTGCGCGGACGCGACCGCCCTGCGGGCGTCAACGGTAGGCAAGCTTTTTCGCAACGATTTGTTAACCAGCATGCAGATTTCTGGCGTGCGAAACACCAGCCATGGTGTCCGGAATTTGGATCGGGCGTGCAAGAATCACGGCCAACGAAAAGAAGGCGGGCGTATGGGAAGAAAAGAAAAAGCGTCCCGCACGCATCGTCGAGCAGCGAGCGGGCCACAACACCCAAAGATTGGCCAATTGTAGAAAGAAAGAAAAAGCACGTCGCCATTTGCCCGGCCCCGGGCCCCTTGCTGCGGCGGCGCTCTGCCGCTCGCCCCAAACAAACCTTCCCCTTCTTGCCGGCAATATCGCAGCCCGCATCCTCTTTTCCTCTCCCTCTCTCCCCCCCCCCCCCCCACTCCCCTCTTGCCCTCTCTCCCCTTCCACACACTTCCTCCCCTCTCGTTCCTCCTTTGTGTCTGCCTTATCGCAGCCCACATCCAATTCTCCTCTCCGCTCCCCTCCCTTCTCTCTCCATCTACACGCACACCATTCCCTCCCCTCCCCTCCCGTCCCCCGTGCGCGCACTTACCTGGAGCTCTCCCCTCCCCAAAACTTCGGCCTTATCGGGGTCCGAAGACACATTGTTCACCAGGATGGTCACGTTGTTCTCTGTCTCGTAGGTGAGCCGATCCTTGATCTTAGATGCTGCGCGGACGGGATCAGAGCGTTGATGTCGTGGGGTTAGCCTTGGGGGGGGGTAGCTGATGGCAGAGACACTGACGAGGAAAAACGCCACGAACTAGAAAACCTATCTCTACGGCTTAGAGTACGCTGACAAAAAGACACTTGCGTGTGCAGGTGGCGGCCGCTAGAGCAGCGGTGCAGCCGACGGAAAAAAAAAAAAAACGGCGCTTTGTGTATAATTCTCCCGCCAAGACATGTGCTTACTCTGACGGGGAAAACACAGAAAACGGACAGAGAGAGAGCGAGAGAAGAAAAAGGCAAACGCACGCGTATACGAAAGAAGAAGAAAGCAGTTTCGGGCACAAGCGGACCAACCAACGAGGACGCCCCGTCGCTCCTCATTCTCTCGTACCCCCTCCCAGGTCGAATTCCAAACTAGCAAAAGAAACCCAAGTTACACGCCCGCCCCCGCAAGCCTCTACGTCCCCGCCCCTGACCCGCACTACCATTCCCGACCCCCGTCCCACCCTGCGCGCCGGCATGCGCGCAAGGAAGCTACCCACTTTTTTTTATTGCCTGACCTGTCATGTACGTCCCGTCTTTCCCCCCGAGAGGGCCTGTGTTAACCCCGAACACCATGGCCAACGTGGGCGGCGCAACCCCCGGGGTAGGCAGTGGGTCCTCTCGCCCCTCCACGGCGCACGCTATGGTGTCTCCCACGCAGCAGCTAGCAGAAACAGAGCGAAACAAGCGCGAGTGGTACCAAGTACCAAAAGGGCGACATGGTGATGGGGGGGGGGGGGAGGCGGGGGGGAAGAAAACGTAAGCTGATCGGATGGAGAAGACACTCTAGAAAATTGGCTTGGCAAGGGGGTAAGTCGTGGGTGGAGCCACAGACGGGGGGAACAGGGGCTGGGTGGACGATGGAGCGGCCGACAGCCCTCAAGAAGCCCACGCTGGCACCTGCATCTATTAACTGTTCGACTGTGGGAATATCTCGAATGGGTAGTCTTTCTGTGTGCGTATTTATTTTTCCGTAAATCTATCACCGAACTACACATGACACTGCATCGACAGAGAAAAACGTTTGACTCCCAACCCCCCCTCTGATGCCCAGACTGGTTCACACGCGCACACAACGCAGCCGAAACGCACACAGAATCAAGAGAGGAACCGCCCGATACCCCAGCCCTTCAAACGCAAACAGCACGAAAAAGAGAGAAAAAAAACACACACACACACACACACACACAGTGCCGGGGGCTGACGAGGGAGGGGTCGCACCGGCGCTAACACGGCGCCCTTCTTCTTCTTCTTCTTCAGTTCTGCACTCTCTATTCCTGCGGCGTTCGTTGACGTCTGGCTCGAGACTCTCGCTCTCTTCACCGCCATTTTTTCCTCCTCTATCGTCATACTGACATCCTTCTCTGTTCCCCCCCTTCGCCACTACCGACTCACTCTGCCCCCGCCACGGTGATGATGTCCCCGGCCCCCGCCGACGACGCCCCCAGCGGCTCTCTAGTAACTCCCCTCGTCACGAACAGTTCCGCCACCTTGTGCGGCCCGGACTGCTCCCCGCCGCCGAGCCTCCCGAGGGTCTTGACGGACTTGCCCGCCTCCACCACCCCGGACACGATCTTGCCCGTCGCCAGTCGGCCCAGGTACGTGTCACTGTCGGCAATTGTTATTGTTGTTGTTGTTGTTATTGTTCATGTTAATGTTATTGTTGATTGTTGTTGTTCTTGTTCTTGTTTTCGTTGTTGCTGTTTTCGCTGTTGTTGTTGTTGTTGTTGTTGGTGGTGGTGGTGGTGGTGGTGGTGGTGTTAATGTTGGTGGTGGTTGTTGTTGACAGTAATAGTGTTGTTGACCGTGGTGTGCTCATGGTTGATTGTGGTTGTGGTTGTGGTTGTTGAGGGCGGTGCGTTTGTGGTCGGTTCAGGTGGTCGAGGGCGGTGCGTTTGTGGTCGGTTCAGGTGGTCGAGGGCGGTGCGTTTGTGGTCGGTTCAGGTGGTCGAGGGCGGCGCGTTTGTGGTCGGTTGAGGTGGTCGCGGTTTGTTGACGATGTTGCTACGGGACGTGGTGACATTGACACTGCTCTGACATTGGCGTGTCAGATGCGTATGAGCATGTCTCTGCGGATACTGCTGCCACGCCCGCGGTCGGGGTGGCAAAAGAGAGAGGGCATTCGGTTTACGTTTCGCGCCGCGAGGGTGCATGCGAGCTTGCGGGAAAAGGAGAGCGGAAGGAAACTTAGCACACGTACATGTGCGCCGGCCGACGACACCGCAGCCAAGAGAGGCGCATGCGCCTCTTGTGGGAGACCACAATCGAGGTGAGGAAGCAGGGGGCTATGTACCGCGCCTGCTGTACACGAGATTCTCAACACAGGATCAGGATCATCCTCCAGCACGTTCGAACCAAGCAGATGCCCTTGTCAACGCCATACGCCACTCGAGGCAGTACGCTATCCGCCGAGGCAACACCTACTTCTTACGTGCGTGTGTCTAATTTATGTGTGCCATTGTTGCCATAGCATCGACCGCCTAAGCCGGCTGACCAATGAATAGTGCCGGTGTGTGTGTCTGCGACTGTGAACAAGTGGCCAACAAATCGACTCGAGCTAACGCTTCTCGTGACAAAAACCTACCTGCCGATGTTGTTAACGGCCATCGCGAACGGCTCCGACAGCATCGACTCGTCGTACGGGGGGCGCACGGTCTCCGCGATGTGGTCCAGCAGGAACCGCATGCTCGGCTCCGGCGCCGTCTTGCACCATGAAATTGCTTGGTCTAGGTCTTCGGTTGCCCATCTAGTGGCGACAAGGAAGGCGTTGCAGTAACACGGAAGGAGGGGGCGAGGGGCACACCATCAAGACGATGTTCCGCGCTCTACCAAAGACCAACCTCTTCTTCTCTCTCCCTGAGGGTCATCAAAAGGCTATCGTCAAGGTGTATCCAGCAACCAACAACATCGTGCAACACTACCCCATCTTTCTTCCAACCCCCCCCTTACTCTCGCGATTCGTGGGGCAAGGATGTTACATTGGACTCGCAATGATCCCCCCCCCCCCGCCAGCGCATTAAGTCATACGCAGCTGTCATCCGTACGCAAGGAAGTAAGCACAAGATGCCGAACATCCTTAGCAGGATGCAGCGCACCCTTCATGCGACTCGCCGAATACCTCACGGCGCTTCGTGCTTGGTGATGTGAGAGCCTGGTCCGGTTAGAACTCGGCGTGCTCCGTCCCGGCTTTGTAGGGATGCGAGGTCAATGGTCTAACGACTACGGCATGCACGACTATGAGTACACCCCCCCCCCAGCCAGCGCACCCTCCGTGCCACTCGCCAAATACCTCACGGCGCTTCGCGCTTGGTCATGTGCCAGCCTGGTCCGGTGAAAAAAAACCGGGCGTGCTCCGTCCCGGCCTTGCAGGGATGCCAAGTCAATGCTCCAACGACTACGGCATGCACGGCTATGAGTACACCCCCCCCCCTCCCTCGCCTCTGCCTCCACACACCCTTGCTTTGCAGAGGCGTAGAGTGTGGAGTACTCCATCTGGTCGTCGTCGGCCCCCAGCTGCACGAACAGGTCGAAAATCTCATTCTCCACCTCCCCCGACAGCCTCGCGCTATCCCGATCCACCTTTTGACGGGACGGTTGTGTGATTCGTGTGACGAGCAAGCCAGCGAGCCGTCGACCAAGGAGAGAGAAAAAATACGCCGAGAGAGAATTGGGGGGGGGGGGGGGGGGGGGGGGGGCAAAGGGAAAAAATTAAAGGGGGGGGAAAAGGGCCCTTTGGGTGGTCGGGGGGGGGAAAAAGGGAAAAAAAAAATTTTCCCCCCCCCCCACGGGGGGCCAAAAAAGGGGGCTAAAAACGGGGGGGGGGGGGGGGGGGGGGCCCCCAAAAAAAAAGGGGGGGGGTGAAAAAGGCCTTTTTTTTTTGCCCCCCCCCCCCAAAAAAAAACCCCCCCCCCCTTTTTTTGAAGAAAAATTTCTCCCGGGGAACCCCCAAA